GTTACACCAGCAGTGCTCCACCCGGTTGCCCCTGAGCAGGGGCCGCAGCCACGACTCGTGTTGCTGGTATACCATCTGTGTTTTCTCATCTCTGCAGGTCACTGTAACGAAAAACAGACGGGCCTCTTTAGGGCCGGACTCACCCTAAATTGACGCCAGCCCCTGTCACACCACCCCCCGCCACGGGTCCTGCTCACTTTCAGAATAATCCATTCTTTCTTCCATCTTTGCTTTCAGCCAGAAGACAACAAATATTTTGTCACTGAAGCCTCCTTCTATTGCTTTTCCTCTGATAGGCCCTTGTTTTGAAAGAATTTATCTATCAAAACACATTTAAGTAACACTCTAATTTTTAACTTTCATTCATCAAGCATCTACACATGTATGGGGTTGCCTATCGGAGTTTTTGAGCCACATGAGTCTTCCCCACACTGAGAGAATGCTTTGCTGGCCCAAAACAAAACGAAACGAAACGAAACAAAACAAAAGGACATTTTAGACTGTGCAGAAAATGTGCTGCTTCCATTAGTATTTTCGCTACAACAACAACCATTGAAGTACGCCCATTAACACTCTTTCCTTCTTTCTCTCGGTTTGCAAACCAGAATGCCACCTTTAAAGATCTTGAAATTTAATGAACTGCAGTGACAGATGCTCCCTGCAAACAATAGTGTTGTTTCTTTAGAGGGTCCGGGGGTGGGGGCCAGGGTACGCCTGCAGGAAACGCTGTGCAGGAAACAGCGAGGGCAGAAAGAGGGAAGCCGTGACTCACTCTGAGGAAACTTCCACTTTAAAAGGGGTGTTGCCGAGTCTTCCAGACCCAAAGGAAGTAGGTCATAAGGGAGGAGAGGTGATTTGGGACCTGCAGCTGGGCTTACTGGTTCTTTAAATCAGAGTCTAGACAACCGGGCCATTAGCATTTTTTATCCTTGCGATGGATCGTATAGTGGGAATGTTCCTGGGGTTTCTAGCATCAAATCTAGACGCGGCCTTACAGAGAAAGTCTTCCCACAGCACCTCCATGAGGTAACCCAGGCCAGTTGTCCCTGTGTTACGAACCACAGAAACGGAGACACAGAAATGTTCGCTAACAAGGATGCTGAGTGGCGTCCGGGAGTGCGGGGATCCCGGCCCAGGGAAGGGCCCGGGAGCACCAGGACAGCGCAGGCTGGCGGCTATGTGACCCTGGGCAAGTCACGCAGTCCCTCCGGGCTCTGTTCTCCTCTGAGTAACAGCACTTTGGGCCGCGGAACTCGCAGGCTCCCAGCAGCACGCGACTCCCGGTAGCCTGATCCCTTGAGAGCGAACCTGTTCCCTGTCCTCTCTGAGCCTATGTGAGTGGGGACACGGCGTCTCTGCAGAGTCTCACCTTCAGGGAGGCTGAGTAAGCTGGGAGAAGAAAATCCCTGACAGAGCCTGAAGCACCCTGAACCCCGAGACCGCCCCCTTGGACCCCTCTCCAGCTCAGTGACATCTCACCTCTGGATCTGCTTCCTCTCCTGGGCCGCCTGTGGGATTCCTGCAAAGACACCAGGGGTGGAGGAAGATCAGCGCATGCAGGGTGTCTTAAGAATAAAGGTGTAAAGGTGATCAAACCAGATGACCACCATCAACCCACCAATCAGATGCCATCCGCCCAGAGCCCCCCCCCAATCAGGTAACTGGCCCAGGCAGAGTGTCCACCACCTTCCTGTCTAATTCTGCCTCCCCTTCTAGACGAGTGGGTCCAGAAGAACGTTCTGCATGATGGACATGTTTAATATCTGTGCCATCCAAGATGGTGGCCACTGGTCACTGGGGCCACTGAGCACTTCACATGGGCTCAGAAGCCAGCCAGCACATGTGATGGAAGTGAATTTTAAGTTTTTAATTTAACTTACTTTAATGTATTTGTTTTTTAATGGAGGGACTGGGGATTGAACCCAGGACCTCATGCATGCTAAGCATGTGCTCTACCACTGAGCTATACCCTCCACTCCACCACTCGTGATTTTTTTAAGTCTTTTTATTAATATAAAAGCTGATAAATATATAAGCTTGCCTGCTTCCATGACTCACAGCACATGCACGTACTGTTTTTTATAAATCCTCTATGGATTCATTCAAACATGTCCTTTAAAAACAGCTCCAAAGAAGGCATTGAGCAGCAGTATTTCCTCTAGTCCCCACGAGTGCCTAGGGTTCACGCCTGGCTCCCAGCATCCTCCACCAAGGGGAGCATATCCAAGTGCATCACCCCACACCCCTACCTGGCTGGGCAAGGCAAAGACGGCTCCCCAGAGCAGCAGCACACACAAGAGCCCCCTCCTCATGGCGTTCATCATGTCCTCAGTGTGTCTGTGAAATTCTGGAAGAGGAGAGGGAAAAAGCTTAATCGTGTGACGTGAGAGGTCATAGAGGACGTCAAGGTTCAGGAACCTGCTGGTCCCTCCAGCATCAGCTCCCACAGCAGGAGAGGCCACGAAAAGTGTCTGGAAGATGGCGGTTTTAAAATTGTATATATTTTTTATTGTGGTAAAATATATGTAACATAAAATTTACCAGCTTAACCATTTTTAAGTGCCCAGTTCAGTGACATTAAGTTCACACTGTTGTGCAAACATCACCACCATCCATCTCCACACTTTCATCTTCCCAAACTGAAGTTCTGCACCCACTAAACAGTAACTCCCCGTTCCCCTGGCAACCACCATCCTACTTGCTATGAGTTCGACTATCCAGGTACCCATATAGATGGATTTATACAATATCTGTCCCTTTGAGTCTGCCTTATTTTGCTTGGTATGATGCTCTCAAGCTTCATCTATGTTGTAGCGTGTGTCCGAATTTCCTTCCTTTAGGGCTGGGTAACACTGCGTTGTATGGATGTGGGTTGCTGGAAGACAGTTTTGCCCAGACATTTCTGTGGGCTGAAGGCTGAGACCATCTCTGGCACTTCTTGGCAGCCCTGGGACTCAGGGCACTGGCTTAATTTCCCTGGATGTGAACTCCTACCCTGGGGCTGACTAACTGGATGGAGCTGCAGTAATGTCCCGTCTCTGACTTTTTCAGAGGAAACCGTAGGAATTCGGCACATCACAGAGCCAGCCTACCTCAGATTGCCTGAGTCCTCCACTTAACTCCCGTGCCTCCTCTTCCAACAAAGGAAGGTCTCCCTGCTGCTCCATCAGGAAGCTGGCTCTTTTTTAGAGACCAGCCCCTGTGAAGTGCAGATTTGCAGAAAGGAAGGGAGGCATCTGGTTTGGATCACTAGACTCAGATCTTCCTGGACCCACATTCTTTGTTTTGTGTACCTTTGCCCAGAGATCTGGCCCCCAGCAGCTCAAAGTGGGTTAGTTGGTCGGGTGTTATTTTGTGGTTTGGCAGCCCCCTTGCTCCCTCGTCCGCAAGAATTAAATCAGGGCTTTTCTTCCCTTGACTCACTTCCCTTCAGTCACAACAACAACACAAGGTCCCTCCCCCTCATCCCAAGGATGCCAAGGGTCCTGTCGGTTCAGAAACTTCCAGGACTTGCATCCTGGCCTGGCTCCTTTCCTGTTGGGTGTACTGGCCCCTCAAATGGCCACAAGCTCCCTTCAGAGCAAGGACAGAAAATAAAGGGAGGCTGGGCTGGTGGGAATGACCTGTGGAGGGGACAAGAGAGTCTGGTCCCTGAGATGCCCTGGGCTCAGAAGCCAGCCAGCACGCCCCTCTCCCACTGTCCCTGCCCCATCACAAAGGAAACAGAAAGAAGTCAGGATCTGAGCCTTTGCTCCAATCTGGCCGGCCCAAGGCCCCTTCTGGGGCAGGCTGGGGTTGCCACCTCGGGGCCCTTTTCTCACTCAAAGCAGGAAGCTTGCTACTATTCACAGGTGTCAGGCTGTTCCAGAGAAGTAGGGGGTTGAGGCCATCCAAACAGGAGCGCCCAGGGACTCTTCTGATCACAGGGAACCCCTCCAGCTGTCCTCAAATGTCCCCTTTCTCCAAATTTCCCCCAATACCCCTCATTTACCCCTCTGAATTTCATCCCATTACTTAGAACCTTTTAAAATACACCTTCGTCAACACCTTCCTTCCTTCTTCCTGCTGTTAATCATTTTTCACCTGTTTAGAGGGGGACCCATCCTTTATTATGTCAGCCAAGCCTTGGGGACAGGGAGAGCTCTACCCTCTGAGGACTCGAGGGGGAAATGCTGAATGAGACCCTGAACCAGCCCTGAGCACTGAGCACCGGAAACTCGACGCCGCCTCCTCCTCCAGCCTGCTTGCCAGTCCCTCCACTGGGCTCACTCCCCCTCTCACGGGGTGCAGGGGTGGTGGAGTTGGTGGGGGGGACTGGATGCTTGTCCAGTTACTATGTAATTTCAAGAACTCAAGATCTTCTTCAGTGGAATACCCTCCTAGATGTTGGGAAATTGCAAAGTGAGACATAAAGGATTAAGATACTTGCATTCCTTGGACAAATGGGGGGGGGGTGCTCGTGGGCGTGAAGGCACCAACAGCTGCAACTTAATTTTTCTTCTGGTTGGGGGAAGAGGTCATTAGGTTTATGTATTTATTTTTAAGGGAGGGACTGGGGATTGAACCCGGGATGAGGGATGCTGAGCATGCGCTCTACCACTGAGCTGTCCCCTCCCCTCTCCAGCAGCTGCATCTTGTCCAGCCCTTTGGCAACTACAGAATCAGTGCAAAGGGGAGAGGAGCGCGTCTGTCTTCTGCTCCGGGACAGTCGGAGCCTGTCTCTCTTTCTATCAGTCCTTATCTTCCTCTGCCCCCTTTGGCCTTGCTGGGCCGGGAGCTGACCCAGTAACAATGAGTCTCACACAAACCACGTGACGGCTCCATCCTCGCTGCGCAGAGGCAATGGCGGCAGCTGGTCGGGCCTGGTGGGGTGAGGGGATAACAAAGGAATGAGTCAGCCCGCCTGCAGACAGGCAGTGCTGTCCCAAGACCAGGGAGCCAGAGAAAGGGAGGAAAAGTGTGTACTGGTCTTGCCTTTGTGAGAGGGGAGCGTGCAGATCTGGGGGCAGTGCCTGGACAAGAAACGAGTGAACACCATGAACTCGGACTGGACTCGGAGCAGGGGGTCCCCTGCCAGGGTGAACTTCAACCCTGGATCACGGGCTCCCACCAAAGGGAGGGGCCCGAGTGCCCATGTGAGGTCAGTGGGAGGTGAGATTTGAGGAATAAGCTTAAGAAGTCCTTTGAAGGAGGCTCATTTTATAAATGCAAAGACTCGTAATTTTTTTTCTGTGTTCTCTTCCTTTTGCTCTACTTAATAGTTTCCCAGAATCAAAGAACTGAAAATGCAAGGAAGCAAGAGGAAGGAAAGAATGGAAGGAAAGAAAGAAAAGGAAAAAGAAAACCACCAGGATCGCTGACTTTTATGGGGTTGGAATCCCTGAATCACTGGACGCATCCCTGTATGAAGGGGGCAGCAGGATGGTTATATGGCCTGTGGTCCCCAATATCCCAAGGCCCCACCCCTGGCAGGCCCACCCTGGCCCATAATGTCAATTTTTGCAGACTTGCAAAAGGTACCCTCTCTGTGGATGGAGTTGAGTAGACACAGAGTTTGGCAAGTTGACAAAACAAAACAAAAAATCTACAAATTAGAAGCATCAGGACACGTGGCCGAGAAAGCACGGCCTGGATTTCCAGGCTGCCTGGGCGGGCATCCTCGTGCGGGACCAGCCCGCGCGTCTGTTTCCAGGGCGGCACTGATCTGCCTGCCCGGATGCCATGCGGGGTCCTGCTTGGCTGTGGAGACAAAGGACTCTGTTCTCTGGCCTCTAAACAACCGTGAATGATGACTGCTCCGGCGGAGAAAGGAACAATGGTCTGGTAACCAAGGAAGGGGGGGGTCCATCTCCCAGAGCCATTGTGGGAAACCAGCCACGCTGGCCAGAAGCACAGGGTTTGCGTCTGCAGTGGTGCCATGGGGGTGTTGATGGATGAGCACCAGTTTAACGGCCAGAGTCTGGATGGGGCGAGGCCGTGGGAGAGGACAGCCGGAGGGAGGGCCTGGGGAAACGCAGTGGAAGGTGGCCCCAGGGACTTTTACTGCCCTTTGCCTGACCCGTCCTGTCACTGTCCTCCAAGCTTCTCCACCTGCCCCCAGAAACATCTGCTCCCAGGGAAGGAACCGATACACTAGCTCACCTAAGGTTAATGTGACCGAATACCAGTAAGTGTGCTGTCTTTCCAAAAAGTACCTACATTTTGAGACATAAAATCGGCTCCCAGGGATGCAAAAACCGAGTGGGCTGGGCTCAAGCTTTCCTTCAGGGCTCACCCTCTGTGGTTTCTGTCGTGCTGAGAACAGATGCTGTGACAAGGGTTCCATGCTGTGGGAACGGTGAAACACTTAGAGACGGGGACTGGTATGCAAACAGTAAACTGAGCTGCAATAATGGCCCTGGACGCACGCAGTCAGTCTGACGTCTGTGATTCTAGGGACAAACTGTGCAGTGGCCCCAGATATGAAAGGACTCGAGGACTCTCTTAGTTTTCACGCTTGGCAGCAAGAACAAGGCAGAAATGTAAACAGACCGGAGGAGGATGAAGATTGCAAGGGAAAGAGAAAGGTAAGTTGCTACTAGTATCAAATTTTACACCGTGGGCAAGGGTTGCTAACTTAAGCTGTGGTGAAGGCGATTCTTGGGTTGTTATTGCTTTGCAAAGCTGCTCTCTGGAGATCTGAGTAAGAGAAAGTCAGTCTCCAGCAGCACAAATACCCCAAGATGACTCATGACTTTAAACCAAACAACACTCTTCCTCCATCCCCCACCACCACGCCAGGAAGGATGCCAACAAATTAGAAAAGAAACGGTCAGAATTCCTTGGGACAGCAAAGGAGTGTCACTAAGTCAGGATGAGAGGGGAGGTGAGATGGGGGCTGTGGGGAGAAGCGGGCCTTGGGAAGGGGGTGTAAGCTCCCCCCAGAAAGCGCACCTGCTGTCTGGACCAGCGTCGGAGCCCAGCTCAGAGACACTAATTATCCTGGTAGCTCTGGTCCCACCCCTACAGGTCCCACTTTTTATAGAGGTCATGCACTCAGAATAAAAACCATCTTCACCATAGCCAAAGTTATATGAACTAACTGTATTGCTTTATGCTGTGACCACAAAATATTATACAATGCACCCTTTGTTTTTCATTTCATTAAAGGAAGTTTAATTAAAAAAAATTTTAAGAAATTGGCATCGTGGAAGCAAGTCTTAGCTTTCTGAAAAAGATAGTTTTCTTTGGGCGCACACTTATTTTCTCTTTTCCTGAACGGAAGGGACACTTTCTAACTAGGGAACAAGACAGGAACATGCTTTTATCTGATGGGATGGAGTCCAATGAGGTGAATAGAGTGGCCTCCTCTCCTGTACCCTGCACACCATCCCCTCCCCGCATCCTCACTCAGTCACTCAGGGCGGAATTCTCGCCAAAGCATCTTCAAAACATAGGCACCTGACCTGTGTCTGAATTTTACACGACGTTAACCTGGCCACTCAGAACAACCTGTGCTGAGCACTGTCTTTGCCTCAACTCTCAGCCCTCTGCCAGGGAGTCCTGATTATCTGCGGGAACTCAAGGAGTGCAGTGGTGGTGGGTCTAGCAAACTAGAAGTCCATCCTGCCTCCTCCTATGGTAAAAACAAAAGACACCCTTTCCTGATGAACTTAGATCCTTGTCAGCTGGCAAAGCTAACACCGTCGGTCAGTGCAGCAAGGTGTTATCCCCGGAACCTGAGTCTTAACGAATCTGCAACCTCGTGTTCATCTGATAAAGAGTCCTGCTCAGCCATCGGGTAGTCCCTTCTACTCCCTTAAGCAAACGTCACTACATGTAATTAAATACACCATCATTGGGTCATTCTTCAGTCCCCTTGCAGATTTCAACACACTTGGATTGGGGAAAAATGTTCTGAAGCTTTGAATGCCTCCCTACCTGCGAAATTTGTCCACACGTCAAGAGGCTCACGTGAAAGCTGACGTGATAGCCTATTTTTGAGAAATGTGTGTGAATTAATGTCGCTTACTCATCCGATACGGGAGGGCTTACCACTTGCCAGGCATCCATTGAATCATTTAAGTCAATGTGATTAGCTCATTTTTATGGATCAGAGAATTGAACTTTAAGAAAGTGTAAGGAACTTGCTCCGGGGTGACGTGTCTTGTAAGGGGTGCCATCGGGACTTAAGCCCAGAATACCCAGTTCTGTCAAAAAACCGACAGCCGGTCAGTGACTCTCTCCACAACCCTTACTGATGCTGGACTGTCACGTTTTTCATGTGCTCAGCCTTTGCTGTTGGAGGGGAGTGGCTGGTGGGAATTCAAGGAGGGGGCCCAGCTTCAAACTCCATCCCCTACTTACAGGCTGGGTGTGGTTCCCCATTTTTTCTATTGGGATAATCCTTTCCACCCTGCTGAGTTGTCATGGCAACCAGGGCAGAAGCATGTAACTTGTACTGTCAGGAGCGCCCTTCAGACCAGGGAGTGTCAAAGTTTACAGCTTCTCCCTGGAATGAGGACTAGGACTATGAGGGAAGCCAATTTCCATGGGGTCATCCTCAAGTTCAAGTGTTAATATCAACTCTGGTATCCAAGATCATCTGGACATCTTGTGATAACCTGTAACTGGATTCCTTACAGTGGGTATCAAGTTTCACATTCTTCATCTCTGTGCGCAAATCAGTATTACCAGGGGCCACGATTTCCTGGATTACCAGGTGGCATCTTTTATCTGATTTTTCTTTTTCAGTTTTTTTTTTTTTAATTTGCCTTTCCCAGGCTACTTACAGCAAACAGTCTGGGGCAACTCTGGACTCTCAGAGGAGACCAGAGTTAGTGGCCAAGGTGGCTGGAAGATAAGGCCTGAGATGTTGAGTAAGGGCTCTCTGACGCAGACCACATGGGTGTTTGAAAACTGGCGACATTAGGCAAGAAAAATAAGGAAACTGAAGCTTCTTAGATAAAAATCAAAACAAAAAACCCCACAAATCTTCCCTTTCTCTCTGCAACCCAGGTGGCAGACACTGTTTCTTGCTGCAACGGGGCAAAAAACAAAAACCAAAAAACAAAAAAACCAAGTTCCTGTTTTCTGTGAACGTGATCACAGGTGAAGCCAGCAGAGAGCAAGTGAATGGTGAGCTTTCTGTTTTAGATGAGCCGTAGGAGGTTACTGGTGGCTGCCCACTGAGCCCCCTTCCGCTACCTTCAAAGAAATGCCCCAGCAAAGGTCTCTAACTAAGGGACTTGGGAACTTTCTTGGGCGCCTCCTTCCTGCCTCTATCAGACCCCTCATCCTGTTCATCTCCACCTCATACCCCTAATCATTCTGGTTTCCTCCTTTTAAATTCTCAGGTGATGACTACGTATCACCATCAAACACAAGCACCAACCATGCACCATGCACGGGCTCCCTGGTGGAAAGACACATACTCTGTCCTCAAAACCTCCTCGTTTAGGAAGGAAAGAGACAAGTCACCGTCACAGCCCAGTGCGATCAGTGTAGGGGGCGGTGGCGGTGCTGGGAGGTGGGAACGCAGAGGAAGGGGTCCCCTACTGAAATGCGAGGGACGGGATGCAGCTCATTCTTGCTGGTGAAGGAAGCTGGTCAAGTTCAGCTTTCTGCAATGGATGCTGTATAGACTGTTTATGGAACAAAAGTAGGAGTGAGCCAGGCAGTGGAGGGGAGATACTGACAAAGCACAGCCCCAAGATGGGCCCCCTGTTTGGGGTCCAGGCTCACAGCATCAAGCAGCCAGAACCCCTCAATCTTCAGTGTGAACACTTCTCTTTGTGCAGAGGTATATGAGTCATGCACCCCAGGCTCTCCCTTCAAAAGCGTCCCTAAGAGGAAGTGTGGCTTTGAAAGACCAAGAGTTCTAAGGATGTAGGGACCTTCAGGGGAGGAGTTCACTTTGGATTCCCTAATGTCTGGTTGTAAGCCGAAGGAACATTTGTGACTATGTAATAAACAGAAAAGGCTCTTTATTCAAAGGGCTCCCAGGATCTCGGTTCAGCCTGACCTCCAGGTGGAATCAGGCTTTGTAGGTCAATTCACAAACGAACCTCTCCAACCCACTGTGTATCTGTCAGGAGCATCACACAGTCATCCCGTGCAGCTCCGCTGGCTCTGCTGGCCCCGCTGGCCAAGAGTCACACTCTGGGTCATGGTCATGGGCATAGATGGTGTGGGCAGCTGCTAAAGACACCCAGTTGGATCAGTTCTACAAGAAGAAGCGCTGTTGGCATTTCCTGGGGAATTGTAATCGGCACCAGAATGGGCCTGAGCCATGCCTTCCAAAACTGTCTATGAAATGCCTGCCATGTGCCCAGCACCTAGTTCATTTCCCCTTCCTATTAGGTCTTAACTTTCAGGCGATCAAGAGGTCTATCTGGCCCTCTATGCCCTTCTACAGAAATCCTTTTTCCAGGCAGGATAGTGGAATACAAAATGTACAAAATATCACTAGGACAATCTCCTGTCATTATAGGTAAGTAGACACTTAAGCCAAGATCAGGAGATAATGTGGCTGAACTCGGGGTTGGACCAACGCGGACGATCTTTAAGATTCTTTCTCCCTCAAACTTTCTATGAATCTAAATCATCCTCACTTTTTAAATCTGGTTTACTTTAGGTTTTTTTTAATTTGTTTGTTTTTTGCAAGGGGAGGTAATTTATTTAATTGTTTGTTTTTTTTAATGGAGGTACTGGGGAGGTACTGGGGATTGAACCCAGGACCTTGTGCCTGCTAAGCACGTGCTCTACAACTTGAGCTATACCCTCCCCCTTCAATCTGGTTTAATTTGAGACCCACCACATGGTTTTGTGAGCTGGTTGACTTTAGGATGAGGTTAACCACCTGAAATTATAGACAGAAGTTTCCGTCTGCAAAGCAAATGACCCAGAGAAGGAATGAACAGAATATTCTGGTCACTCATTGTCCATCTTGGCCATCTTATCAGAACAGATCTGAAAATCACTCACAGAAAAGAAAAGTTTTATTCTGAGACTGCCAATGCCAAATAGTCATTGAAACTGAACATTTCAACTCAAAACCCAAATGTTGCCTCCCTTCCAGACACTGGATATTCAGAGAAGCACATGGATTTTGAGTTTTGACTAGAACTAAGTGCACTTTTAATGCTACAAACCACATTGCCACCTTGGCCTCTGATCAGAAAAATCACCTGCCGACACTCCGGAATATTTGGAAGATCTCCAGCCAGCACAGCTCCTTCCAAATAACGATCTAGCCAAAGGGCCACTTATGCCACTGTAAAACCCTAGAACAGGAAGTACTCCTGGAGGCAGATTAGTGACAGGACCCACTTGGATGCTCTGGGTCCCAGCCACCCATTTACAAAAAGCCTTACGTGGTGCTGGTGGTTTCAAGTCACAGCACCAGAGTTGTGGCTGGATGCTGGTAACAGTCGTTTGAAATGTACTGGTCCCCAGCTCTGCTCGCCAACATGCTGATCACAATATAATAACCAGATCACTGCTGTTCCCTCCGAAGCAGGGACCATCTCAGGCCGGTGAGGAAGCGACAGAGAGCAGCATTGTCACTGGGAGAATCTAACACCGGGGCTCACAAAATACACCGAGCGGGTCTTGGAGAGTCTGCACAGAGACCAAGCCTTTTGGGCAGAGAGTAGCTTTCATCGGCTCTTGACGGGAGACAGAGAACATTTTAGGGAGAATAAATTGATGGGTAGGCTGGAGCTATTTCTGCTCCAATATTCACGGCATCTTGGCTGGGGCCTGTCTGCTCTGACCGGCATCTATTGATTTGGGCCAGTCAGTGTCTGGTGTCTCCAGCCCACGGGCCAGAATTACTAGGGAATCCTTTTGAGGCAACTCCACTTACCAGTTGTATCTGAGAATTTCTTCATGGGATCTCTCACACACACACAGAGTTTTTTTTCTGTTTCATCAGACGGCTGCAGGAGACCCCCATGACCATCCACAGAAATCATCATTCCCACATTCTTTTGAGCTTGAGTTTGTCATCAGTTAACCTGAGCACTCCTTCCCTCCCTGCACCTCCCTCCCTCCCTGTGAGGCTAAGAAAATAAAGATAATAGCAGTGAAAACCTAGAGAGCCTTTGGGAAGAGAAGACTTTGCTGTTATTTCCCCCTGTAATTGAAAAGTTCTCAAAGAAGCCATCCCTTTGCACCCGGGCAAAAAGCCAGAGGCCGGGGGGGCAGGGGGAGGGTATAGCTCAGTGGTAGAGCATCCTGGGTTCAAGCCCCAGTAGCTCCATTAAAAATAAATAAATGAATAGATGAAACCTAATTACCTCCCCCTTAAAAAAAAAAAGCCAGAGGACAAAACCAGCTGCGGAGGTGGGGGCTGTGGGGGGGGACCCCAGACACATGTCTCTGACTGTCCCCTCTCCTCTCTCCCAGCACTTCCCGCCTGATGACTCTGAGGACAAGTCCCTCTGCCCAGCCCCAGCCTCAGTTTCCCCGTGGGCTCACCAAGGGGGCTGCCCAGCCGAACACCCACGCCAGACGCCCCCAGGCAGCCCTTTGGCATGTGTTGCCCGTTAGTCATGAGGTGCTCCATTGCCTATTCAGGGTGGTTCTGTGTCATTTTGTTCACTTTCCCCTCTGCAAGCGGAGATCCCTTCTCCAGGAAATACACCCGATCTCCCCTCTCTCTTCCCCTGGCCCGCTGGCCCTCCAAACACTTCAAACACTTCAGCCATCCCAATTAGATGCACATTCCGAAAGAAAGCTCCCCTGCTTGCGCATTCTAGCTAACCCTCACTTTTTGCCTGAATTACCAAGTTGGTCCCAAGTTTAGACGTCCCTTCATTGGCTCAGAAAAACTTTTAAGACAAAGAAGAAGAGACGGCAGACAGAGAAGCACAGAATTCAACCCACCTCTGCTGCTGCTGTCGTCTTCTTTCTTTCCCTCCTTCCTCCGAAAGGCTTTCTCTCCAGCTCTGGGCTCTGCAGGACCTCGGCTCCAGTCTCCCCGCTCCGATCTGGCCTCCTTTAAATCTCAAGGCAGGGGGTGGGGTCGGTGGCCCTGGGTGGGCGGGCTTCTCTGCAGCCGGAGGATGCCCAGTGGACCGCCACTAGAGAGCTAAGCCAGGGCGGACCTGTTTTTATAGAGGGGAGGAAGTTCCCCATGGAAGCAGCACAGCCTATCCTGGCTTTGGGCCAGGCTGATTATTCACAGTCCTGATGTCACAGGAATTCGGGAGTTGGACAGGACCTGAAGAATCATCTTTCTTTAGAATCCTGGTCTTAACCACCCAAAGGGACCCCGAGGCTCAGCGGGCTCTAAGCCCCTACCGGAAAAGAGGCATTTACAATTCTAAACAAATACACACAGAGGAGACTAGGGGTGGGGGGTGTTCTTCTGGAGTCTCCAGCAGTAACTCTGCCCCTCTGGACGCAAGAGATTGGAAGGGCTGGATGGGTGGGCCAGCTGCCCTCCGGGCAGAGGAAGCTTCAGGGTTGGAGTACCTGGGAAGAGGGCGGGGGCGGGGCTCACCTGCTCACCCGCAGTGGAAAGTGCCCCAGCCCGGAACCAGCCACACCCCAGCTCTGTCATCTCGGGTGAAATCATTTCTCTTCTCTGTTAAGTGAATCCACAGCGGGTGAGGTCTCCCGAGTTCCCTGATGTGTCGTGGAATACAGGTGGGGGCGCTGAGCCCACGCTCTGCCCTAAACGGGGCCGCTCACGCTGGCAGTTCCATCCCTCACGTCCACCCCTTACACTAGGGATGTTTTTCAGTGTTCTGGAGTTTGTTTTTGAATGTAAGTATCACCCCACCATCAGACCCGATGGCGGAGAAATGAGAGCCGCTCGGTGTAGGGGAAAGATTGACGCTTGAATCGGCGGTAACAGGAATGAGGGCTGTGACCTCGGTCGAGATTTTCAATTACGCTGAGCTTTCGCAACCGAGGTCATATGAGACAATGCACATAAGTTCCCTGATCCATCACGGGGAGCAGTCAGGGGCATCCATTATTACTGATCGATGCCTAGCCGAGACAAGGCATCGGTGAGGATGAGAGAGAAGTAAGAGAAAGGATGCGGGGAGGGCACACGAGGCTGGCCGAGGAAAGTGTAGGATGACCAGTTAGGTGTCACGCATTCTGATCCTAAACATGCTCACATTTGTCAAGGGATGAGCGCTGATTCAGAGGTTGGAAAATAAGGCAGTGGTGGCCAAGGTCGAACTGTTTCTCTCTGTTTTTATCAAGCCATAGCCCTGCCAGTGGCCACTGCAGAAAAGGGGCAATGGGAGATGGAGTTAGCTACACTGGCGCCTTGGAGCTAGGTAAGCTGCAAATAAGCGTTAGTTGCAGGCAAGCATCAGGTAAATTGCGGCAGGGGTGGCCCCGTCCCAGGAGACAATCTACTTTCCTTACAGGCTTTTTTGGGGGCATTTTGGTTCAGCAGGGGTGGAGCGGTGGTGGTAATCGGACTTTAATTTGAACTCCTGTAGAGGACAAACGATCATATTTAAATGGTTAGAGCACACAGAGACTGCAGTCTGATGGAAAACAAATTTGTGGTTGGTGGAGGGGGCGGTGGAGGGATAAATTGGGAGCTGGGGATTTGCAGATACACTACTGTATATAAAATATACAAACAGCAAGGTCCTACTGCAGAGCACAGGGAACTATATTCAACACCCTGTAATGGCCTATAATGAAAAAGAATATGAAAAGGAATTTTAACTGAATCACTATGCTGTGCTCCAGAAAGTAACACAACATGGTAAAATCAACTATATTTTAATTTAAAAA